CTAGTTACCCCTGGTTCCCCCCCCCCCCGGCATTCTGTGTGTGTGTGCGCGCGCGCGTGCGCGCGTGTGTGTGTGTGTGTGCGCGCGCGCGCGCACTCTGTGGTGCATTCTCCGCTCTCCGCAGCTGGGCATCCCCCCCAAGATCCTGTGTTAAGCTTAAATTCTTCTCCTTTCTATCCCACCCACCACCCATCCTTACTGCGGACAGCTCACCAGGGAGGGCCCAGGCTCACAGGTTTCCCTTCTCCACGCGCTCTCGGTCTCGGACTCTGGAACCGAACCGTTCCACGCGCCCCGGACCCTCAGATCGCTCCAGCATGAGTGGCACTGACTTTTCCAATCTAATGACTTATGAAAGATATAATCATGTGTTAAATTGAATCCTCCGTTTAACTGTTAATGGTGTGCTCTGGGCACATTTACGTATTAGATGCTATGGTAACTAATTACCACTAGGAAAAAGGATAATACACTTGGAGACTTTGAAAAATAATGATGAGAGTTCACTTCCCGGCTCGCAGCACATTGTGGCGGCTCCGCCGGGTGGAGCGACAGAGTGAGTAGAGACCCGAAAGTGTGCTCGTAGAAGGCAGGAGGTAATGAATCCTGGTCAGACGAGTCTCCTTAGCAAAACCTTTAATGAAACTGCTTCAGTTGGGAAAGTGGTGGTGGTGGGGTGGGGGGTGGGGGGTACCAAGTACACCACAGTGCCTCTAAACAAAATTAAATTGCAAGATGTAAACATCAGAAACATAAATAAGTTTTCTTTTAATTAAAATGCAGGCCAGATTCAATTATCCACGTGCCAAGCAACTTTACATCAATTAACAGTTTTTTGTCGTGTGGGCAAAATAAATGAGCCCGTCTCCTGCGCGCTCTGTGTTGGCACTTATAACTCAGATGCCCCTGGATTTGCCAAGCCAGTGAGGTGCAGGTTGATTTAAATTTGCCCTTTTAAATCAGACACTGGGCACAGTAGATGGGGGGGGGGGGGCGCGGAGAGGGAGGGAACCTGGAGACAATAACTTAAGTTTAAGAGCAAAAACAACTCTCAGGGTAAGAGTCCTTTGCTTCCCGTGGGATCTCTGGCTCTTCTGACCCACGGATATGTGATTACTAGAACCAGGGTTCTGTAGGTTGTGTTGAATAAGAAGGTGTCTATTTTACCCCAAGGCCAGGGTAAATGTACTGGGGACTTGGGAGAGCAGAAGGGAGGCGGCTGTTTTACAGCCAGCCCAAGGTTGCAGACAGAACGTCCACAATACACGTGCCCACCGCGCAGTTCTGCTCGCGAGGCGCCCTGGGGGGGACTCGGTATCCGCAGGCGCAGAGCACCCCTTCTCCCAGTGCTTCCCCTGGACTGGGGTGCCAGCCCCTCCTGAGGGAGCCAAAACATCCAACTTCCAAGTTTCTTGGCACAAAAAGCGAAGTTCAGGGTCTCTGCCTCAAACTCTCTTTCTAGAGGTGGCACTAGGATCGAGTTGTCCCCCGCACCCCCCAGGCAGATGGGTTCGTGTCCAAATAAATGTCAAGCTTGTCAGGAGCACCCCACAGCCTTGCTAAACCCAGGAATTCTGCGAAAACGCCCTAGTTTTAAACCTCAAAGAGGTCTTTGCTTCCTAGCAAAGCTGGGAAACTCTTTGCTCGCCTTTCCTGAGGCTTAATTTGGGTTAAATTCTACCACTTTTTCTAAATTACTCTTCTTAACACGATCCAGGAGATTTCTGGACTATGACAAAATTACCAGGTACCCCTGAGTGCGTGTGCATGTGTGTGTGTCTTTTCTTTCTTTCCCTTCCCCAGTGTTCTCTAATTCGGGCAATATAGAAATACAAATTAGAAACTTTAAGAGAAATGACTGGGCTGGGAAGGTTAGACTGCAAAGGGAAAGAGGATTTTGCAGCGGGCCCCTCCCCCCCCCCCCCACCATATATAATAAAATAGACAAGCCTAGCTTACAAGTAAGCCTCCAGGATGCTTCGATGGGGAGTTAGCTTTAATTATGCACACTGTGATATCATTCTCCTTTCCAGCTTGGGAAAGAGTTAATTCTTTCCCAAAGACCATAGTTGCCCTTGTCTTCTCAACCTGATTCAGAGATGCAATAAAATATGAAGCAAATTTATGATCTGTTTCAAGCATTTTATTGCTGTATTTTTAAATTCATATATGCACATATAAGAACTATGATCTGTGAATAATTTGAAATGCTATAGTAGAATGATACATTTTAGATAAAACATAACCATATCTTTATATAATTGTCTCAGATTAAAATAAAAAAGAAAAATAGATTTCTAATGTGGGCCAAACTGAAAAACTAATGACAGCCATAAACTGCTAACCAACCATAAATTAACATCTTCATCAAATGCTAAAATGGTATCAGTGGTTATATAAAGCAATTATTATTTCTCCTTATAAGTTTTAGAATAAAGTTCAGGGATATTTAAAGGATCCATTATTTACAAATGCTTCACAATCTTAAAGATTTCACATTTTATTAGGAGGATGGTTGCAACTCAAATCTGCTGTGTTAATAGATATGTTTAGAGATGAGAATTTAGATTTAAACATAAAAATGCTTCATGGCCTAAGCTCATTTTATGCATTTACTCTGCTCTGGCAATTACTGAAGAACTCAGTAGAAGGATTTCTTTGTTAAATATCTTCATCTACTTTTTGAAAAGAGAAGACAAATAATACCTTATTATAATGGCAGAGACCCAGGTTGTATACCTAACTGGTTAAAACATTAAATCATACCCTGTCTATTTAAGTAAGTCCAACTACATTTGCCATGTACAGCTTCTCGGCAGAGCTATGGTCAAAATTCTGGGGTCTGGCTGAGCCTGTGCCCTCCATCTGTGAAGTCCACGAAAAGAAATGGTTTTCCAAACCAGGCCTCCACAGAAACATGAAAAGCCATGGAGGGGAAAGGGAGTCTATCTTTTGAATGTTCCATATATCAGGAAGCAGGGTCAGGGAGTAACTGATTTAATTTTTTTTTTTTTTTTTTTTTTGGAGAAGCAGCCGGCATATCTATCGTTAAAGTATAGATTTCTCAAGAGAGTGAAATTAAGGAAAACCTAGAATTACTGAACAAAGTAAGCTCTTTTTAAAATTTAGAAAAAAGAAATGTTTTCCCAAAACCAAATTTACTTGGATTCTAGAGGATCTGCCTGGCATACACAATTAAATGATCTCTGCCACTCGGTGGTTGTTTACAGAAGGTTGCCCTACAGGGTAGTTACTGTGGATGAACATCTTCAAAGTTCAAGGATTAACTAAGGTCTTCAACTGGCTAAGTCCTGGGACCACTCTTATAGTTTAACTTTTTGGAAACATTGTTTGAGGACTTTCTTCTGTAGAAATGAATGCTATTTTACAGCTTTTGGGTAAATCTAAAATTAGCTCAAAATAAAAAGTTTAAAAAGTGGATACTTAATTTCAAAACACAGAGGAAGTACTTTCTGTATACTATAAGATTCATTTAAAAAAAATCCAAAAGTGATTTCAAATAGTTAAAAAAAAATTCCATTTAAATTATAAAACAAAGACATTTGTAGAACCTTAAACATATTGGATAGTTCTTAGAAGTTGTGAAATAAAGTATATTTCATTTAAACATTAAACACAAGAGACAGAAGAATTTACTAAAAAATTTGGATTATTTGTCAGGTAATAATGACATATATTTTATGTTAACTATAATGGCTCGTGTGTAGAAATAAATGTTATATGGAGTAATATTCTCTTGTAAACAAATAAAAATCTCAAACTAGTATATGCTTTATAAGTGTTTAAATTTGACTCAGTGATGAATCATTAGATATTCGTACCCTTACCTGTTATATACCTGTTATTACATTATAGTTACCTTTACCTCTAGTTTCTTCTATAGGCACAAAACACTGTAAGGGAAATAAAATGCTTCACGAGTCTATCTCTAAACATTTACTTTCTTTGTCTGCAATGTATCATATCTATCCTTATAAAAATGAATACATTTAGGAATTGAGAACATAAACTATACCTCAAAGAATTAACAATAAGCTATATCAAACCCACTTAAAATTATCCAGCATAACCCCTGAGTATTTTTTCTACCCAGGTATATCCTGAATAGAACATGCATATTATTACTCACATGATCATGGCTAATTCCAGGCAATTAAAAATAAATTTTTTAAAATTTACTCAATAAGTGTTTTTTAGAGTAAAATTGAAAGCAGAGATAATTATTTTATAGATTGCCCATTTAATGACATGATTTATCCTAGTTGTTAACACTAAACTGACTCGTTGAAATAAACAGGAACACCTTTAGAGTCTGAGACAAGTTCTTGTAAAATGTTAATGACTCACGGGAGTGTTTCTTAGAGAAACCAAGTGTCCAGTGAAATGCTATACCTACAGTTACTGCAGAAGCCACACTTAATCCAAATCAACACCATTCTGTGGTGCTTGCTTTATTTACGGTTTGGATTTCAGCTTTATGAATACATAGAATACTGTCCAAGTATTATTCAGCTTCATTCATGATCTGTGGTAAGAGATCTGCAGAAAACAAAGACCACATCTAATGGGATCTCTCTTCCATTTTTTGTTCTTTTACATCTTTCCACAGAATGACTGCAATTATGAAGAACTGTGGTCTAGCAAGGTCAGCCTGGTTAAAATAAACTTATTAAAAAACTTATTAGTCCCTGATATTTCTTGGGTCTGTTTTTATTATTTCCCACATACATAGCTAAGTTAAAACATATTGAAAAACACTCTGAATGTAACAATGAATGTACCTTTAGGGAGGGAATCAGAAAATAAGAACGTGTGTGTGTGTGTGTGTGTGTGTATGTGTGTTTGGGTGGGGGGAGACAGGGATGTGAGGATATTCAGACAGCAAAATTATTCTCCAAATAACCTGCTATTTGGAACCAAATCTTCTGTCACCGAACATGCTCCTAGTAGGGAAATAAGGACACACAGTCATTCACCTGTGCTTTAAAAGTTGATTTATTGAATTATTGTTGTAAATAAAAGATAATTAAATAGATTTACAAAGCATTTGCCTTTCTTACCTAATGTCTTTTTAAGATTTGCTTCCTCATAAATCCACATATATACCATTTTAAAATCAAAAGGTAATATTAAACAAACAATTCAGAATGACATTTTTTTTATAATATATGGCACTCCTCTGACTACAAAATATTTTAAACGTAAGTATTGCCAAATTATCTCCTATTTAAAATGGTGCAATAGAGTTTTTCACAAATTAAATTTATCTTACTCAAGAAAAGTATTATAAATAAAATAAAGATTTAAGCTAGAAAGTCCAAACATCATTGATCACTGATTTAGATTAACACTATGAAGAAGACTAAGTAATAATTGCTTTAGAGAAATAGTAGAGAGTTTTATGTGATTGCTCATTATAATTTAAAATAATGCTACAGGGAATGTAATCTTGGCTTGCTAAATTTTTCTTAATTGAGTATGTGAATATGAATACCTAATAATGCAGTTCAAGTAAATAATAGTTTGCAATATTGTGAATTTAATAGGTTAAAAACAGTGCACATTCTAAGGGCATATAATTCTTTTATAATTATTGACATTATTTTATGCTAAGATCAAAACCTAAATAATTTTTGTGCTTAGATCTTTGAAATTGGTTTTAAGATTCCACTGTTCAATGAGAAGACATTTACAGGAAATGTTATCCAAATTATTTTTTTATGAGAAAATAAACAGAAGTCATCATGTAGATTTTGAGTTGTAACCCCTTTACCTTAGACTTGTGACCCCACACTTAATGATAAAATGAAGAAGATATAATTAAGTGTGCCAGGAAAACCAAAAGAAGGCGGATAAATGTTCCCATGTAGGTTGCTTAGCAGCATGCCTTATTTAGTGGTAAATAGCTTTTTTCTTAATATCTTCAGAGCATTTAGTTTTTGCTACTAGATGCTTCATTACTGTTAGTCATTGATATAAAACAATATTATTATTCATTTCCTTTAATTTGAAACTTTGGGGAGGCTGTAAAAATGAAAAGATGGGTTTTTATGATATGTAAAGTATAGTTTTTAAGACATTTTAGAGCCTCAATAAGGTTTGGTTTGGCTATTTTTGGTTTGGCTATTTTTGTCCTATAATCACAATACCCGATGAATATGTTTTATTGTGTGTAATTATGCACATAGTAATTTCTCATTACAGAACACTACTTTGGATTGAGTGACGGGAGGCTAGATCTAGAGGTAAATCAGAATTTTAAAACTGTTTTAAAGAAATGAATTTATTACTTACAAGGACACTTAAAATAAATTAGTTGTGTATGTGTTGTTTTCCCTAATAAATTGTGTGTTCTTGAAGAAGGGTAATCCAGTACATAACAACATATCTAGAACAGGGGGAATGCTCAATAAATGTTTGATTGAACTAATGAATAATGAACTATGTAATGACAAAAAATTATTCCCTTTAGCAAATACATTAAGAACAGTTTTTAAAAGGCACAACTTGTTGAAGTATCTCCTTTACAACTTTATGTTTGCATATTGCATTACAGTTTTCAAAATAAATTCACACATCTTACTATGTTTAAGCCTCATCATGAACCCTCATGTCAAAAGGCCTTATTATTTTTATTTTGCAAATAAGGAACTGAAGCAATGAGAGGCAAAATGACTTGTCGATGATAACAAACTAGTCATATCATAGCTGGAATCCATGTCTTTTAACTTATTTCTCCATGACATTTTTTTCTATTCATAAACACACTTTAATGACTAGATGTAAGCCTTTTACAGGACTCTCTTGTTTTGGTTCTACTATCCACTCCTTTTATATAATATTTTCCCAACCATTTTGTTTATTCTTACTTTCTATTCTAAATTCCTATACACACTTCTAGTTATAAGTTAAGCAGACATTAGAATTGAATAATTTCCTGTGTTCTCTCTACTGTAACATCGCAAAAGTGTACTACTGAGACAAAGGTAAGCACACGGAAGTTTCTACTTCAGGTCATATGGTGGGCTAGATGTCCTCCTACGATAAAAAGAATGGGCTATGCTTTGTGGAAGGCAGAAGATAAAGCCTAGGGCCCAAGGTGTGTGTGTGTGTGTGTGTGAAATCAAAGACTCCCACACAAAGCCAAGAACTCACAAACTGAACATCTTTAGTAGGTGAACTAGAAAGAAACCTTGCTCCAGAGAGCAAAACTGTCTGTAGACTTGCCTCTCTCAGCGATGGTGAAGGAAAACAAAACAAAACAAAACAAAACAAAACAAAACAAAACAAAACAAAATAGAAAGTGTCTCCCATCTATTCCTAATCATAGGGCTGCTTTGTAGCTGATTTAAGGCTAGAACCCACATTACCTATGTATCTCCCACCCCTCATCCCCTCTCAAGCTGCAAACTTAAAGTGATGTGAATTTGATAATAACATCAGCAGTCAGACAAAAGTAACTCAACTTCTCCCTGAAGGAATGAGTTTTAAACTCAGGCTTAAAAAAATTTCCAGAGATAAAATTCCAAGGAATATGGGCTCAATAAACAAGCCATAGTGAGTAAGAGTTACAGAAACAAACTATAGAATCAGACCCACGAAACATTAATGATTTAGAAACATCAGATACATAATATAAAATAGGTTTCCTAATGTACTTGAAGAAATGGAAGAGGATACTGAGCATATGATGAAGGAACAAGACATCAGAAATGACCAGGCAGTGGGCGCCTGGGTGGCTTGGTCGGTTAAGCGTCTGCCTTCAGCTCAGATCATGATCCCAGGGTCCTAGGATCAAGTCTCCACATCGGGCTCCCTGCTCAGCTGGGAGCCTGCTTCTCCCTCTCCCTGCTGCTTGTGCTCTCTCTCTCTCTCTCTCTCAAATAAATACATAAAGTTTAAAAAAAAAATGACCAGGCAGATAGGATGAACAAAAGAGAGTTCTCAAACTGAATATAAAATCATTGAACTTAGCAAATTCAGTGGGATCAGAAAAACTGAAAGCTGACAAGTTGGCAGCTGGTACCCTGGCTCAAAATCAATCAACCCACAGAAGGGAGAGGGTCGTAAGGCCCTAAGGATAGAACATAACAGATCTAGAACATCTCAGGGAGAATGAAGGTAGTCACAGACTCTGTATGTGTGTTTGTGTGTGCATGTGTATGCACACTACAGGGGTTGGGGACAGAGTTTGCAGCAGCCCGGGACAGAGGATGGTGGACACAGCAGTGGGAGGATAGGTAGGGGAGGAGTTTTTAGTTCCTGCTTTGGCCTCTCCCCCAAATTAAGTAGCTGATGGATATAGTTTCCATCATGGGGTGAAGAGATCATAGCAGTTAGAAGCAAAAGATTAAATATATATGTATATATACATATATGTATAGTAATATGAATATATCTTTAAAAATATAGAGCTTAATAAGAAAATTAAGAAGGATGTCATATATAGAAAATTTGTGTATGTAAATTAACATGCACACAGGTAATATGTTTTATAAAAATATAAACTTATGAAAAGATAAATATCAAACACATTAGAATGTCTGCCTATGATGGGGAGAAGTATAATGGTGAAGATTAGAGATAAGATAGAATAAGTAGACAAAGCCAGAGGGGACTTACTTGGACAAATCATAATTGTGTACCATAAACTAAAACCAAACTCCATGGATGAGATAAAGAGCAAATTAGGTACACAGTATAGAGACTAAATTCACGGTGAGATCTAAACAAATTACCTAGAATGTAAAATAGAGGTAGAAAATATGGGGAGGAAAGGTCAAAGAACATGATGGAGTATAGAGTGAGAGGATCTAATAGAGTCTGGGAGAGGTACTACTCAGAGGTTATGGCTAAGAATATTTCCTACCCGATGAAAGACACACATTCTCAGACTCAAGAGGCACTGTGACATGCAAGCGTGATAGAGACTAAGAACATCAAAGACAAAAAGAACACATTAACGCTATCAGAGAGAAGAGGCAGACTGCCCTCTGAATAATTAAACTAATGGCTAACCTTTTGATAGCAACAATGGAAGCCGTAAGAACATGCACTATCTTCAGAGTGCTGGGAGGAAATAGATTTGTGCGCACAGAAAAATCACCTTTCAAGAACAAGGGCAAAAATAAAGATGCTTCTGATCAACAAAAAACAGAGCTTAGCTAGCAGAGCCTCACTAAGAAATGTTTAGAGCATGTACTTCAAGAAGGAGGCTATAAATGCTAGAACATCTACTTATTATTAAGTACCGTAAGTATTTTATAATGTTACTTTAATAATCAATTTCCTTTTTAAAAACAAAAGCATGATGCTGAAATCATAGAAGTTCCGATCCATGCAATGCAAATTAACTGAATTTTATTACCTGCTTTTCCTGTTTAAATACAGTAGCGTCATTGCGGTCAGATGCCAATCACCTGGTAAGCTGAAATTGGAAAGCTCTGAATCATGGACACAATGCTGCGCTGTGGCATATAAAATTATACTGCATTCCATAACGGTGTAACTCAAAAGAATACAGATAAACTCCAGGTCCAAAAGGTGATGTGTCAAGAACAAATACTGCGATCTGGTTTCTCAGTTTATATAAATGGAAGCATTTAGGAAAGAGTTCACTGCAATGCTGATATAGCCCTGAGTTTACACTAAAACCAAATGCTACCATCAATCCTGTCATGATTTTAACATTTGCTCTTAACAACAAACCTAATACTAACGTCTCAGGCAAATGCTGAATATATAATAGGCTTTGTGTGTTCCTATACATGAAATCTTCTCAGTATCTAACTTAACATGAGTGGTCTTACATAATGAGAAATTTTGTTGCATTGAGCCATAGTATACAAAGTAATAAAGAACATTTATGCATGATTAAATATTGAAGTGAAGTTGGAGCATTTAATCTACCGCAAAACTCATTTAAGGCAAAAGTACCCAGGCGATATAGACATTATTGATATTACACTTGAAGGGAACATTTTCATCCAGTTTATCGCATGAAAATTTAATTTCCTTCTTCTCTGATAATTTTGAATTTGTTAGACTGTGTCCATTTCCAGCACAAATTTCCACTAGTACATAAAGTGTGATTTTACATATTAGAGAAGAATCTGAGTGACTTAAAAAAAATCCCACAGTGCCAAATTTATTGTGGTACATTTACCATGATGAGCGAAAATCACAATATGTAGAAAAACATAAAAAGGCTATTTTGAGTTTATCATTATGCTGATTATGATGTCTATTTTCATGTCGACATCCTCTTTTAGTTTATGATGGGTTTTGTGACCAAGTACGAACTGGACTGATCGCAGATCAAATATAAATTGGCACTTTTTAAACAAACAGACAAACAAAGCAATTATATTTGCAGAAATTCAAAACAAATAGACGAGCCGAGGACATTTAGGTTAGTTCGGATAAATTTCTTTTCTTTCTTTATCACTTCTTTTAAGATCTTACTTTGTACCTAAATAAAACATCAGAAGCTGGATGCTGAATACCAAACAAAAGGCGACTGTAGTTTGCTTCCATAGGTTTAGCATCAATTATTTCTAAATCAAAATAAGTTAAAAGTACAACCAACAATTGCTTTACTTCAACAATTGCCAAAAATCGGCCTGGACATTTGCTGGCTCCGAATCCAAATGGCAATAGGTAATACTTCAGCTTTTTCCCGTTTTTGAAAAAGGCGGTTTTCTTCTTACCATCTTCTACAAAACGATCAAACCTAAACTCCTGTAGAGAAGAGATAAGGAGTTTAGTTAAAGTGCAAAATTTACATGAAATAGTTTGAGGTCAGGTTCACAAAGTTGCCCGCTCTCTCTGTCTTTCTGAAAAGGCTCCTTTGAATCCTGCAAATGCCCAGAGAGTAAAAGGTGTAGGTGTAAATTAGGGATGAACTTTCAAAAAAACTCAAACGCTACTAAGAAATGACTTCTCCCTTATCATAGTGAAATGCACATATCTATATGACTCTTCTTCCTAATTCACATCTCTCTCTTATGCTGAAGTTCCTACATGTAGAGATGGTCTCTGTATGTTTGTTCCCTAAGATGGTCCCACTTGGTGGACTGATGTTGGGTAAAAGGTAAGGACTCCTGCGCTGCCGCTGTTACTATGGGATATTGACTTCTACTGGCCACAGGAGCTGCCTAATATGCCTTTTCTAGTCCTTCCTGATGGATGAGGATTCAGTGTTTATGTCTGGGTTAAATAGACATAAAATGAAATTTGAAATTCACATGTAGCACATAGAGGAACTAAGCCACCAAACCCATCTTGCTTGTTTTTTGGTGTTGTACTGAATTTCTCCTAGCACGGTGCCTATTACAATGGACTCTCTTTGGGCTATCTCTAGGGTGGCAGGTATTTCCAATATGTTTTCATAAATAAGTTACATTAACTTGTTACAGAAAATTACGGGACTGGTTTATCTAGGGTGTTTAGCCTGGCGTTAATTTACTCTCACTTGAGTTTCTGAGAAGAAACTGAGTGACCTTATTTCAGCCCATGGTGAATTAAGCCATTGATTAAATTAATGCACATGCCATGCATGAAAATGACCAAGTATTTCCTATACTTGGTGCTCATTAGCATTAGACCTGCTCAGCACACAAGTTTGATATGAACTACATGAAGTCAGAGGCAAAGAAGCAGGTCAGCCTGAAAGCATTTCATGTTACAGTGAAAACCCTACAATATGTGGATGGATTCTGACTCCATCACAAATGATCTAATTTTCTCACTCAATATGAATGCCATCAAAATAATCTCCTTTAAAAAGTACTGGGCTTGTCTTCTTTTACCTAGATACCTATTTTGATAAAGATTCACGCTTGGAAAGCACATTATGGGTGGTCTCAATTCCCCTCCAACTCGCAAGTTGGTGCAATCGTAAGGGCCAAATTAATCTACATTAGAACACAAGTATTTTCCACCCCCACAGACAGTTCTGGGATGTATCTGAATAGGATCTAACTAGTGCTAAACTAAAAATATCTGTGCCCCCCTGTAGTAATGAACTAGGACACTCTTGTTGACATGCACTTTGTTACTGGAGATAGAGTACAATATGGTACTCTCTCCTGATAACCTTTTCCGTGACTGGGGCCCCGCCTGCTTGCCTGAGTTAAGGACTGGTGCTGCCACCTTCTCACTGACCAATCTGAGGAGAGAACACTCCACAGGAGCTCCTCACATAGCCACGTCAGTTCAAGTTAACTTACTCATGAAATAATTTGTTGGAAAAAGATCTCACTATTGCCACACTAATTAAGCCAGGAGATACAAAAGGAAAACTTGACTTGGGCTATAACTTCAGAGTGTCCCGATTTCATAAATAAGCCAACAATTGCTTTATTTCATGGCTATCCTGTTCTTCTTTGTGAAAGTGAATGTACTGCCCTCTGAGAGGCCAGCAGGATAAACACATGAGGCTCCCCCATCCCTGTGACCTGTAGGTAGTGTTCACCTTCAATTCCCTCAAATTTCTACTCTATCAGCAATGTCACTCCTCTAGTTTTCTACCACCTTCTATTCCATTTCCTTATAGTAAACATCTTAGAAATTCCTACTTAGTTGTTTATATTATGAAACAAGAACAGGAAAGACCAACTTCTTTTGCTCTGTTACTACCATCCAGCTCAAAGGGCACATAGGCATAAATATATTTTTGAGTTGAAATTTATTTTCAATTTGTTTTCCATTGTCAGGGCATGCAGAACTAGAGCAGAAACCAAAGGACAGGCCTGTGGCAGAGGCTAGGGAGATGGTCTGGTTTTTGCCAAAAAGAGAAGGGGTATAACAGTCTCACCTGTAAGATTCTGGGGTCACAGTGACATAGAATAAAGGGTTAGGAGCTCAAGGTGCACGCATTCATTTGGAGGAACTTAAATGCAGACCTTGTCATATTGATGTAAACTCTTTGCAGTCACCCTAATAGCTCAGCACTTCACAACTAAAGACGGTCAATTAAATATTAAGCGGATGAAGAATAGAGAAATCATAAAAGAAAGGGTATGACACTGTAATTCCCCATTACTCCTCTCATAATTCTTGTGGTTGACTTCTGAACATCTTTCTTCTGCTGAAGTTTGTCTAGGCACCCATCACGGTAATCACACTGATCTGGCCTCTGACTGAGGATAGGGTGTGTAAATCTCGTCACTGTTACAGAGGAAATGTCTGTGAGGACATCTGATAGCACTTCCTTTCTTGTGAACAAAGAAAAACAAACAAACAAACAAAATGGTTAATGTCCCCTTCTCCTCTGGACCTAGTTCTATGTGATTCTGATGTCGGGGACAGCTATGGCCACCAGGTTGACAATGGAGCTAACCCACAGGAGATGGCAGAGCCAAGAAATCCCAGGAGATCGGAGTTGTCACATTGTCTTATTTATCTCTGTATTTTCAAAGCACCCAACATAGTGCTATGTACATAGTAGAGGTTCCATATACATGTGTTGAATTAATGAATAAATACATGACAATAAAGTATATTTTAAAAGCAATCTTCAGGCTTCTGAAGAAAACACAGATATTGAATGAGTAAATAAACATGTAGAGAATGAAGCGTAGATGAATATTCAGCGTTCATAAATAGGGAATGGTATAATATTTAGCACTAGAAATCAAGATTGGATACATGATACAATTTTCTGGATAGAAAAGAGTTTTGGTACAAGTGACTGAGGAGCCTAATTTGTGTGCCCCAATATTGTGTTTAGTTCAGTTTAAGAGATTTGTTTTGAGCACTTCCTGTAAGTGAAACATTGAAGTTAAAAAGGCATTAAAACCTAGTCTTGCTGAGGTGGGTGACATACAATATAATCAGGGTTCGTATTCATTCAATTATCATTTTGGGTGTAGGAATCCAGATTAGAGAAAAGAAAAGTTTCTAAGATAAGAACTGTCAGTGTTTTGAGTGGATGACTAAGGGGTTACACTCTTGCCCTGGGTTTACAATCAGCCCTACTGGGGGCAAGATGACAGAGTTCCTTTTTATCTGCCTGACTTAAGTTCCAATTCGTTTGTACTAGCTCGAGAGAGTGTGCACGTCTCCTCCCAGCTCTGCGTTGAGGCTCTTCATATTAGTCACAAGAAATCAGTCACGTGGGAGTATTTAAACCACAAACATTGAGAAAATCAGGGCTTTTCAGAGGGCTGTTTTACCAGCACACTGCTGATTCCAACATAGTGGGCATGAAGGCCAATTTACCGGTACGGCAGAAACCCTCTCAACACGAAGCTCTGAGAACATAGCTGTGTGATAAGGCCAATTCCCTAAACTCTAAGCTCTTAGCTCTGAGAACATAGCTGTGTGATAAGGCCAATTCCCTAAACTCTAAGCTCTTAAAGACAAGGGCCTTTTAAATTTCTGTGCCCCCCATTATGTCCATCAAAGTACTTTTTGGATAACAGATGCTCAGTATACATTTGTTTCCTTGAAGTAGACTGGTGGCATAATCTCTATTCCAATTTGAGGTACAGACAAAAAATTAGAGTATTTCCTCATTTGTTATTACTGGCCTATTTGTAGAACAGTGACAATAATCAGAATAATATTGATACAACAGTTTTTATAGTGATTTAGAATTTATTCAAGGGCTTTCAAATTCGTTTTATAATTTCAGAATCCCTACACAGCTGAGAAGTTAGATAGGGCAGACTTGCATGAGGTCAAATAAGGTCTTTCAGCTTCAGAGCTTTTGGGAGTGCTCCAATGGCTTTGTAATTACTTTGTTGTTTCCCCGTGTCCTTGCTTTAGGAGGCTACATGGCTGCGATAAAGTGTTACCACCCTAAAAGTTTGCTGTTTCTTCCCTATGGCTCAACAGTGTTTCCAGGCTTCCCTTTGTACCTTACCACCTCTGGCCACAGAAAAACCAACCAATAGATTTGCTCCTCTTCATAGCTCCAGGTTGGGATGCTGTATTTTGGCAGAAAGGAAATCATCACCATTTACCAATTATTGGAGCGCCAGTTGCTTGAATTCTGGCTAATAATAGATGCAAAGTTGAGGCCTTCAGAAAAATTTAAAAAGCGATCTATTCTTAGTTAAATTATCTAGGCTTTTTTGAATAGCATGTAGACCAATGAAGAGAGGGAAAAGAAAATTGAGAAGGGGTGTTTCCTGTGCTCTCTCTCTCATTGTCTTCAATTTTAGTTGCCAATTGATTTCCCATATGGGCAAGAGCCACCTAAGTGGCTATTATTACAATAAACTAAGCACCCAATACTCAGAAAAAGAATAATTCTTTACACAGAAGTTACATATTGATAGCTTATAGACCCAATTAGGTCCCCAAACACTTTTTGTTTAGCCCATGTTGTGTTTTTAAACATTGTTTATCCAAACCTTTAAAAATTCTAAAGTTTACCCCAAAATCTGTTTTCTGAATTTTTTTTTTTAAATGACTCAGCCATGCTAGGCCTATGTGCCTGTAAGAGCTGAAGGCTAATTCAAAAGTAGTCAAATGGTCTTATTTAGATACCTCTGGGCTCTCCTTTCCCCATAGTTTTTACCACTCCTGATAGTATTGTTACATTTATACACAAGCCACTTCATCCATTTTTTCTAGTTAGGCCCAGTACATATTTGAATATGCAATATCGGTGATTTAAAATTCTAATTGAAGTGTATTTTCACTTTCAGAGCATTCATCCCTTCCAGCATCCCCTTATTTATTCGCCCTGTGGACACCCTCATATGCTAGGCACTGAGAATGCAGAGAAGGCAGTGAGTGGTGTGGTCTTTCCACTTCTGGAGCTTACAGCCTATGGGAGCACAGACAAACCAACAAATAATTGGAAAACAGCAGGTGGTATGCACTATAACAAAGGTACAACAGGCCACAGAGTGGGCAATGGCAAATTCTCTGAGGAACGTAACGAGGTGGGAATCAGGAACACTGCCAAAGGAGAGGTGATTAAGGGTGATTCTTGTGGAGTAATCTGGAACCTCTTGAGTGGACAAAGAGCAACATTCTAGGAATAGAGAGGTGTTTGAAGGAAGGCCATGGACTCTTTTTAGAATGTGATATTCTAGAGTCTCTTGGGCTTGAACATCCTGAATTTATGCCTCACTGGGTTGGGAGAACCTATGTTCTGTGAAGGCTCTTCAGTATCTATGTCCTCAAAGAAGAACTATATTTATATCTGGAGCTGGTCTTCTTCAAGTTTCTGGACTCATAGCTACTGTCTGTTTTCTATATCTAAGGCCTGGTCTTCCAATTCAAGATCTATAGGGCACAAAAGATAGGCAGTGGGGAATACAAGCCTCTGAAGAGCTTCTGGGTCTGTGCTCTCAGTGACAAATGGCCAAGGACAGAATTTCCCAGGATTTCCTTCTCTTTTTTACTGTCAATGGATGATGGTTTCAGATGGGCATCTGTTCTATGAGCATCTATAGCATCTACTTATTATCATCCCAAGTTGATAAAAATGACAGGAATAAATCTATTTGTTTGATAGCGGTAGGTGCTCAGTAAATGTTCATAGAATGAATGATTATGTAAGACCTTGCCAAATCATATAAGAATGATTCTGAACCATGTCATATTTTTCTGTGCCAATAACGATCAGCATTCCACAACTAATTTCAAGAAAACAATGATGGCAAAAAAACTAGCTAGTTAATTTTGGAGACCAAAGAACAGTACCGCAAAAACAGCGGTAATTTGGTAAACATTTATCGTGTATTTGCTGATAACTTTAATGTTGATTTTACTATCATGATATGAATGGTAAACTTAATGACTAGTGGAAGAGTCACATAATGAAAATAATAAATAGACGTTAAATAAAAAAAACTATAGATAGAAATAAAAGTTAAAATTTAAAATATTTTTTAAATATTAGTTATTATTTGCCCTATTTACTGAATATCTATGTGTGGAATAATTTTTTTTATATTTACAAATGTGGAGACAAAGCTAGTTTTCCGCAGAATGTCCATTCACTTACTAATACCCTACTTCTGATTTGTTATCCCTACATATAATGCCTCTTTTTCTGAAACGCATAGAAACCATATGTATACTTTCCCCCTCACTTAAAAAATGTTGCCTTTGCCGATGAAATAGATGCAAATTATCTCATTTTATTTGGAGTCTGTCCTCTTCTTATTAATTTCCAAAATTCAACACTATTTTCATCTAGCATGGCTGCAAAACATCTAACCTAGAAATGGTTTAAAAGTGATCCCTCTACGAAGTGCTCAAAAAGAGCAGAGAAGTTTACCTTTGAAAAAGCATTTCATATACAAAAACCACTATAGTAAAAACAGTACTTCATGAGACACACAGGCAGAATATGACTGCATTCAATTTGCATGCAGGTGGTGAACCTCTGAAGTGGTATTAAGGGATGAGCCAGGGTGGATTAATTTCCAGTCTTTGATATTCATTAACTCCAGCTTCAGAAAAAAATACAAGGAGATGACACAATTACCCTCAGAGCTTCACCCGTGAGCAGCAGCTTTACAATCTCAGGTTCATAATGCCATCCTGATTGATCAAAAAGGGGCATATACCTTTGGTAAGAGGTGAAAAAGTATATGGGCTTAACTACGGCAGTGATGGTGCTTGATCTGGGGACAGTAAACCCCACTCTAGAAACACTTAAGCAAAACAGTCCTCATTCTTCATTCTCTAAGCCACCTGTCATTAGCTAGCCCTCCATGGTTTTCAATAATTCTCTGCCAAGCAAAACCTATTTTTGGCCTAAAGGTAATGATGGCCAAGGTAAAATGCCCATTTCATTTGAAGAAGCCAGCATTTAGTCTCATCATTCTATTTCTATTTATAGACCAAAAACCTTTGAAGAGGGATCCTTAGGAAACACTTCAGTAAGTAGGAAAATTTTCCCATTGGAAGGCAGAACAGAAGTCATCAATCCGTCTCAAATTCCTTCTGGAACGAGGTGGCAGAAGGAAGCCACGGAAAGACAGTGTGAGGAAGAGGAACGTGCTTGCCGTTATCTAAGAAGTAGCAACAAGACTGCCTGATGCTTGTTTACCTCTGGAGCTTCAAAGATTTCCGGGTCATAATGTATGACTGGAGGAAAGATGGCTACCAAGTCCCCCTTTCGCAAACAGTAGTCCTGCGTCTCTGACTGTAGAGTCAAATCCTCTTGAACAAAACGAATGATGCTTGAAAACGAGCATAGTCGTAAAACCTCGAGAACGGTGCTTTCTGAAGGACACAAGCAAGCAACAGCTTATTAAAACATGACTGCTCCTGAACAGTGTTCTCAATTTGTCATTAAGCTCATTACCAATAGCTTTGATCGAAAAGGGAACCCTTTCCTAATCAGATCCATTGAGCACCAAGGGGAGAGCCATGGTGGTCTTGGACTCCCAGAGCAATGAGGAGGCGGGGAGAGAGCTGTGACCTGGCCCCAGTCACAGACAGAAGGCTGCTGTGCTGTACTTGGGCAGAAAGGTTATTAGCTAGGATTTCTGTAGGAAGGAAAGGTTTGCAAGAGAGAAATGCTGTGTGATAGGTATATCCATTGGACATTAAAACCATCTCCCAGCTGAAGAACGCTGCTGGTGGGTTATTTCACCACCCTTCAGAACAGCTACATCTTTAAAGCCAGGCTTAGGCATTTAATAACCACTTAGGCAGTTAATAGTAAAGTAATTGTAGTAGAGCTTTCTGCAGTGGTTTAACACTTAATTTCTTTTATGCTAGCTGTAAATAAAATGTGGGTCAGCATTTGTTGGAAAAATTTCAAAGAAAAAAAAGACTTTCATAGGATTCAGAAGAAAACCGTGTCTTCCTCAGCATCCAGAGAAAATAACAGCCACCATCATAACCTGGAAGATTCTAGAAGCTGAATGTCCTTGCTTTCCCAATGGCCTTCACCTTTTGCTCCTAGCACGACAGATTTTATGGCTAATTTCCGGCAATTTATCCTGGCAGTTTGAGGAGGAATTCCTTTGGGAATAATATGCATAATTTGCATAAATCATTCTGATAGCATGCATATCAGCATGTAGTTCCTGTCTAGGTCTGCATCTCTGTCTTCATAATCAAAACTGACTATGTTTTCACCAGCGTGAATGGGTCCTAGAATATAAAGCTTGATTCTTTCTAATCAGCAATGTGAAAAAGAGCTCCAGTTGAGCGTTTTCCCCCTTTCACATGGTAACAAACGGTTGTGTTTATGGCTTGCAATTTAGACTCACACACACACACACACCCCCCAATTTCTTGGTGTTCAGCAAAGCTCAGAAACATAGAGTACTCAATTATTAGATTATAGCAGTGCACTGGTCAGTTCAGTGAGGGCTTGCATCAGCAAAAAAAGAAAAATAAATGCTTTTTCACTAAAATTTAAATCTACGCACAGCTTGCACAGGGATATCAAGTAGCTTTGGGTGCCTTCTCCCAGGACATTTTCCCCTCAGCATGCATTTGTCTAAGGAAATGAGGCTGCGGTCCACTCTGTGTGGCCAGTGTGGTGATTCAATGTGACGTACAGTGAAACTGTGCATATTCTTTTGGACTGCCTTCGTTATTATAATCAGGCAGAGTCAAATCGGTTTGTTGGTGATGAGGCCAGAAAAGAACTTTGGTTTTGGAACGTGGACTCCACTGCAGATAGCCACAAGGCACCTGACATGACGGATTTCAGCTGGCAGGACACCAGTGACCAACATTTCTATGGTGAAAAGCAAGGGTCGGCTTCCCAGGTACTGCTGCTGGCTCTGTTGGATCAACAACGGCGCAGCACCATTTTCGCCTGTGGTGGGAAATGGTAGCTGACATATGTAGCAGTGCTGTTCCCCCAAGTCCAGTAGGGGTGTGGGAAGAAGAAATGCAAAAGCAAAATCGTTGTGGGGTGGCTCTGTGGCAGGGCAGGCATTTACCAGTCCGAATAACGTGGTCCCATCCGACTGGCCGATGGGCTCGAGGGAAGCATGGCAGCTTGCGCCCACTGCGGGATCGCAAATGACAATTGGGCAAGCATATCTTATGCAGAAGTTAATCACAATAATGGAGCCCAAAGTGTGGCTTAGCGGTCAGATCGTAAATGACAAATCTGTTTTACCTTCCGGTACCAGTTATGTGTGCAAGACGAGGTTGGCTCTCGCTCTGAGCGATCATGCCGATAATCATTAGATGACAAAAGTAATGAGTTGCATTATTATCAACAATGGAGGGGGGAGCATCCGTGGCTCTGCGTTACAATGTACAGACACAAAAGCCAGCAGCTTTTCCACCAGCGCCAGTAAGGATGCGGGCAGAGCTATATGTTGAGAAGAATGACAACTGCACAATAAAAAAATTGCAGCCTCTACTTGTAGTTGTCATAGTTGAGCAGACACCAGCCAGTGCCACTGACAGACCAGCTGGGCCCTGGGAGGACTTCCATGCTGCACCAGGAGGTACAGTAAATTATCCTGCACGGGAGAGCAACATCTGTTTCTGTGTGAGTGCCGAACAAACAAGGCAATTTAAAACATACCAAGGGATAACCAAGCAACAAATGAACATGACCCTCATTTTTTTCCCCTCTTCTTACACACGAGGTGTTAAACTTCATTGTGCAAGCACTCCACGAAAGAGAGGCCAGGTTGGTATTTGATAAGGTGTTGTCAGAGAGATTTTACATATTTCCAAAATGGAAAGAAAAAGCTTATAGTATTGTTATTCTTAGAATCCTCCTTCCCCCTGCTATCTTCATTTCTTTTATACCAAAGCTAGCACTCAGTTCTCAATTCGCTCTAGAATTAAAAAAAAAAAAAAAAAAAACTTTCCATATACTTATAAATATTCAGTCTTTAAACCTAATTTGCTATACTTAGTTCACATGCCTTCAAGCATTTGTCTTCCAATTTCCACTGAATAAATGCGTACTAATGAGAAGTAGAGCAAGCTGCTGAGGCAAAGCTGGGTGACTTGGGTCTGGCCTGCCACCAGCTTGTGATAGGCGGGCAAATTGAGTTAAAATGAAAAGTCTTGTCAGCTGAAATTCAACATGGTAGCCAAACAGCAAGCTGTCAATCATCCAGCCAAAACAAGGGACTGTAGGTAATAAAAGGTCATTGTGATCATTAGTGCATTTGGCTTTCATATGCAAGTTAATTTTAATTAAACATGATCTCTATCTGTAAATGTTTTATAAAACTTATTGTACATAATGGATTGTTAATTTATACTAACATTTAGCAGGTAATAGGACCCTCTACTTATTAAATGCATTGTAGAGAAATGGCTATCAAGAATGCAAATATTTTGGGGATAATTTACACCAGGCACCACAAGGTGCCAACAATTGGAATTGTGATTAAGATAAGGCTGCCTGTGTTTTGTCAAGAACTGAGCTTTACTAACCAGTATACAGTAGGAAATTGGATTACAGAATTCCCACGATGAACTTACAATTTAGAGCCTGAACTACCTTCTTCACCTGGCTAGGAGAGATCTGTTTCTCTTTTCCGGATCTAAAAACATTCTGATTAAGTATCCCTTCTAAGCAAAAAGCTGGGGAATGTGTTGTGCTAAGATGCTTTACCATGTAACTGTGAAGGAAAATGGCAAACGAAAGGATGTGCTGGTAGAAAAAGGCATGTACACTTTCTCTTTTGCCCTCAGATCTCCGTTCTGGCTGTAATAATTAACAGATGATTCTCATTTGCAGATTTAAACCATTGAAGCAGCTCATGACAATCAATAATGCATGTAACGATGCAAACACAAATAAGCACATCCAAGTTTCTGCCTCACACTTAGGCCATGTCTGTATATGTGGAATGAATGTACTGTGACATGGCCAGGCTGTTAATTTGGGTCATCTTAATGATTGGTGCAGACTGTCATACCATATGATTAGCCATGGTGATCAGTGGATAGCAGTGATAGCTGGAGTGAAATGGACAGCCAGGTCCCGCCACGGTCCACTGGGGCTGAACACTTGGGCGGTCTTACAAAGGTGGATGAGGAGGGGGGAGAGGAGGATCTGCGGGCAGCGCTCTAGAAGGTGTAAAGAAATGGAGTGAGGCTCCAGATGTGTGTGCGCATTTTTACATGACTGCCTTAAAGACAGGTGAGAAAGTAAATTAGAAATTATAATAATCATGGACGCTGGGTGGCTCAGTTGGCTGAGCTTCCGACTCTTGGTTTTGGCTGGGGTCATGTCATGATCTCAGGGTGGTAGGACTGACCTCGTGCCCGGCTCCCCGCTCAGTGGGGAGACTGCTTGAGATTTTCTCTCTGCCCCTCCCCCTGTGTGTGCACTCTCTCTCTTTCTCTCTCAAATAAATAAATCTTAAAGAAAAGAAATAATCAGATAACTTGAAGCAAATAACTAATTTTTAGCTCAACAACTGTATTTTAAATGAAGAATAAATCTGAATTGGTACAAATGTTTACTTTTACTCTGCATTGCAGACACAACCTTTAGTTTCCTACTGAAATATATAGAAAGGTAAATTCAACATTCATATGTTCAATAAATGTTTATTAAGGTCCTACTCTGTTAAGGGCACTGGACCACTTCTACTGGTTAAAAAAAAAGAAAACACAGCATATGGATTTGGCCTTCGTGGACACTTCAATCTGGATAGTTCAAAGTTGGGAGGTACATATAAACAGGAACACGCCACAAGACCCTAGAGAGGATTCTGCGCAATTTCTGAGTAGATACCTCTAAAGATGGCATTCAGAAAGTCCACTTTAGTAGAAAGTTATTTTTTGTACTCAGCTGAAATTTTCCTCCTTCTAATTTCTACCCTTTCAAAAAGACAAGGGCAAAAAAAAAAAAAATTATAATCCCTCTTCCACATGACAGCCCTTTAAAAATATTTAAAGACAACTATCATGTCATTTTTAAATTGTATGTCAGAGATGACATGGCCTTTAGTCTTTTGACATCCTGGATGAAATCAATTAACCAACCTGCCTCTTAAAAGGTGGCAAAGTGGGGGTGGTATTTCAACTAGAAACGTAGAGAGGAACTACTTTCTTTACCTTGCATACCAGACTTCTATTAATGTTTTGTTGGAAGCAGAGGAACAACTGATTTTTGAAATCATATCACCACGGACTTGTCTTAAGCTTTCTGATATTCCAGAGGTTATCAACCCTGGCTGCTCATTACAATCACCCGAAATGGTTTAAAAAAAAAAAAATAAATGCTCCATTCCAGACCAATGGAATAAGAACCACTGCATTAACTAAACCTT